AGAGAAGCAGACAACGTTACTGACTGAAAGGCAGGCAGTTCAGACCTTGCCTGGAAACAGCAAATGGGAACGGGGCCGACTTTACGAACGCACAGGCTACATGGATTTATAATGCAACAAACTTGATGCTGAGATACAGCTCCTAAGCCACTGCGCGACACACGCAGCACGGCCAACTTCACCAAATCCGACCAACCCCTCCCCCAACATCCACCGACCAAACTGCGCCTAACCAACGCATCACGGAGGAACTCCAGCAAAACCAGACCTGTAATGCATACATTGCGCTATGAAAACTCTTCTGTCCCACAAAACATATGGAGAAATAGTGCCACCGTGTTCTTTTTCCTCTCGGCGCTTTTCCGATTGTCATGGTCACTCTCTCCGGGGAGCAGGGCGCTGACATCCGGCGATGACGTTGAAATGAGTTGTAAAGGGAGAGACTGAGAAGTTGTGCTTACGTGCAGTGTTCTCCCTCTGGAAGAAATCCTTTGCCACTGGTCTCGGCAATTTAGCATGGAACTGGTGCCTTGGCCATGACTTCTGATGGACAACGCTGATTTTCTGTATCACAGATTGATAAGTTAGATCAAGAGGAATAGTTGGCCAACGCACGGGCTGCCCGTGCGAAGATGCGGGCAGCCCGTGCATTGCTCCCCGCAGATTTTTGTCGCTAGCGGCACTGGTTTTTCTGGCAGATGTTTCTAGCTAAAAGAATTTCACACTGGCCGTCAGGACTGTCAGAAAACATCCCTTCAAAATCTCAGCGTTCCAGCTCCTCACTTTCCCGAGCTAGCAACTTTCCCGGAAAAAACTTTCAAGGGCCCGTACGTAGGTACCACGCTTACCCGCGGGCAGGCTTTGAATTCGTTAATACCTATGTGGACGGGGGACATTGCCCTAATATTTCAGCGTTCTAGCTTTTCAGATCACCAAGTTGTGAACCTACCCGAAAAAATTTTGGCGGGCCCGCATGCGGATATTACGCTTACGCGGGGGGTGGGTTTCAGTGCATTAACACTTACTTGAGCAGGGAACACTGCCGTAAGATTTCAGCATTCTAGCTTCTCAAATCCCCAAGCTATGAACATACTCCAAAAAAATTTTGGCGGGCCCGTACGCGGGTACCGCACTTACCCGGGGGATGAGTTTCAGTGCATTAAC